GGTCTTCAGTAACCCATGCTTGCCGTAAAAGGTGACTATGCTTGTCGTAAAAGGCGACTAACGGGATCGGGTGGTCAGGCTCGCTGACTTGGTTGATACATGTCAACGATCCCCATTGCGTGTATCGATGCTCCTGACATCAATCACTGGATTGTCTGGTCCAGACTCGATTATTTACAGACCGCCGTCATATAGCTGGAATATTGCTGAGTGCGGCGTTAAACAACAAACAAAAAAACTAACAAATATAAATCCCTTTCGTTTCTCAAGTCATAAAAATGTAAACAACTTTGGTAAATGTTATGTTAAAGTTGTGCCCGTTATGCAACATTCATGTCATGAACGGAAGATCAGGAACTGACTGTGAAATTGGGGATTATACATTCATTGGGCAAAATAGGGCAAGCGTCATAGATTATATAACTTTATCTGCGGCAGTGTTTGAGCTTGCCAATGACTTTTCTATTCAATCATGTCATCTCATCTCCCGCTCACCCTAAAGCTTAAAGCTTGTGAAGCATGAGAAAATGTAAATAACACTGGTATCAATCACAATTCATATATATTTAAATGGGACTCTAAAAAGTGAGAATTATTTAGGGAAAACATGCTGTCCGATCATTAACAGGAATTACTTGATAAATCTGTTGATATGATTTTTAATGACATTGATAGAAGTACAGAGTGTATTACAGATACATTATGTGTCGTGGGAATTGACATGAAGAAGCCAGCTGGAAGAAGTAAATACAATGATGAATGGTTTGATACTGAATGTGAACTGTTGAAACGTAAAAGATGTAGAGCACTGAATAGGTTTAGAAAATACAAGGATAGTCACACGTTGAAGGATTACAACTACACCAGAAACAAATAGAATGCTGTATGCAGGCAAAAAAGGAATGAATATTTTGAACACAAAAGGCAATATATGGAGAATAACATTAATATCTCAAAGAATTTCTGGTCTGTGATTAAAGAATTATGTTCAAAATGATATGAAGATTGCTGACTTTTTTTTCACATTTTAGAGATTTGTTTGTTGGTGACATCAACATCAACTGTGCCGGACGACTTTCCGAGTATTTTACAAGATGACTGTACTGATGATGATGTCACTAAAGATATTACAGAGGATATTCTCAGTATGCCTATAACAAAAGACGAAATTTTAAACATCATCCATCATTTAAAATGTAACAAATCTCCAGGAATAGATGGCACCATTTCTGAATTATGTATACATTCGGCCGATCTACTTGTCCCATACCTAGAATTTTTATTTAATGTGATGTTTGAAGAGGGATACTTCCCGGAAACATGGTCTATTGGTATTTTAATTCCGCTTCATAAAGTAAGTGCTTCAAATAATGTCAACAACCACAGAGGGATAACTCTCTTGTGTATGTTCAGTAAAATATTTACTTTTATTCTTAACAAGAGACTTGTGTCATCGGTCGATACATAGAAAGTTACTGCGATAAATTGAAACTCACTGTTAATAGTGTAAATTATTGTATTCAAAAATGGTTGCAAACTTGCCAAAAATGAAAAATGGTCCTTTGAAGGTGAAAGTTTGAATGTGACTACACACTATAAATATTTTGTATATTTTGGTATATGAAAATGTTAAAACGTGTGTACGAAACAAGGGTTTAATGTCTGATATTTTGAATGCAACTTTGGCGTCGCCAAGGATGTATGTTGAGTCCGTCTGAAAATCCATATCGGAAATCCATAACAATTTTACGTACAAACGGCATTCAATTACATCCAGATGTCGTTCAACTCTTTCCTTTATTATTTGCAGATGACATTATCATGTTCTCAAGCACAGCTGGTGACTTGCAAAAGCAAATTGATGTCTTAGAAAGTTACTGCGATAAATGGAAACTCACTGTTTGTGTTAGTGTCAAAACTAAAATTATTGTATTCAAATATGGTTGCAAACTTGCCAAAAATGAAAAATGGTCCTTTGTAGGTGAAAGTTTGAATGTGACTACACACTATAAATATTTGGATGTTTATTTCAGTAACAGTCTAAATTGGTCTACTCATGTGAGAGAAGCATCAGTTCAGGCCAAAAAGGTTTTATGTGGTATATTAAAGAATATATATATCCTTGGTGATATAAGTTTATTGTCCCAATGTTTGTTTGTTGTTTAACGCTGCACAGCTATAATACGGCGGTCTGAAAAATAATCGAGTCTTGACCAGACACTCCAGTGATTGACATCATGCGCATCGATCCACACAATTGGGATGCGATGACATGCATCAACCAAGTCAATGAGCCTGACCACCCGATTCCGTAAGTCGCCTCTGACGACAAGCATAGTCGCCTTTTACGGCAAGCTTGGGTTGCTGAAGACCTATTCTATCCCGGATCTTGACGGGTTGTCATTTTGTAATTGCAAATGGCAGCATATGGTTGAACTTCTGGTACAAAGATATCTCGACTGCTGTCGTGGCCAGATTTGAAATTGAATTTATTGAAAACAGGCCTCTCTTAAGACAATCAACAATATTCTGACAATGTTCTGAACATTCGTGAGTGCACCACGTACATTATTTCTAGGGCCTGTTATTTGTTGCTGATGGCAACTTTTTTACCCATTGTATTGGTTTTTTTTATTGTTAATCTGAAACTGAAAGTTATTGATTATTCATTGATCGTGTGTGGCCATTTACTGATTACAGAATTTAGTTTCATACGAATCGATTTCTCGGTGAACTCTGTGTTTCAAATTGGAAATCACCTTTTAACATTAGGTCTTAAACATTTGAATAAAAGCCTCTCTGAAGTAATAACTGTATCGTTTGAAAAAAAAAACACCCTGCACGTTTCAGAGTCATATGTTATTAAGTAGTCTCAGTTCTATTGGCTTTCTGTCAAAAATATGAATCTTGCTTAAATACCTTTTGCCCTAATCACATGCTGTAGACAGCCCAATTGGACGGATCGATGCTAATGATGTCAATCACTGGATTGTCTGGTCCAGACTCTATTATTTACAGACCGCCGTCATATTGCTGGGATATTGCTGAGTCCGGCGTTAAAAAACAAACAAGCAAACAAGAAAGCTGTAGACAGATAATGTAACACTCATATTGATAATATGCTTCGTGTAAAATCACGACTGATACACGTGTGCCGCATAAACGAATCAGGGATTCGATTCCCCGACCATTGGAATCTCTGCATGCCGATCTGCAGCGCCTTTGACGACTTGGCCGCCCATGCCACCTACCCTTGGAACAAAGGGGGTGTTCTCACTGTGCCGGCAGCTATTGTTTAGGGTTATTTAGCTAATCTACCATTTAACAATAGAAGGATTAAAATGGGGATTGTCGTGCCGGCAAGTTCTGGTTTAATGGAAAAGGAGCACTAAACACAATTCATGAATTTCTTAAATCTATTGATTTCAGACATACAATAAGTTACAACCCAACTAGATGGGTAACGGAATCTCCGTACTCTATTACAGATTTTGCATCATCGACCCAAATAAGCTTGAATACTTCAATATCTCTCGATATGCTTCAACATCAAACGTCATGATAAATTACTGTTGTCTATATCATATTATTTACTGACTGTTCGACCTTGGAATGTGTCTTTCTGGAATGATTATATTACCAGTTGTGCATATTTAATGTTACGATCTCAGGTTTCTAAATTTTTGTTGACTATGCGCGAAGAGCACGGGAAATTCTATCATGAGATCGCAATTATTGCTTAAAATAGTACTCAAAAACCTTTGAAAAAGGGCAGTTACCCTCGCGGACAGACCGGTGGATTGCCGCGAAAGGCAAGTAAAAACAATTTGTGTAGGCAAATGTTGTTTTGCCTATATGTAGTTGCGCCACTGTATAAGGGACAGGTTTCAGTTGGAACTATATTGGACTGACTCATCATTTGCCCTCTGACGTAATATATATTAATGCGCACATTCGAGGAAAATTTGCAATATTTAGGTATTGTTTCTGAGAGATGGGAAGAGATTTTTCGAGCACAGAACTGAAGAATGACATTATATGATAAAGAGGTTATCACGCTTTTGTGTTTGGCGGTGGTAAATTCCCTCTATTAGGAATAAACAGTATGTATACAATGTATATTTCTTAAACAGGATATTTACCATCCCCAAACACACTCGCGTGATAACCTCTATTTATGCAATATGAATCGGAATATCTGCTCGGATTGGCAAAGTCAAAACAAGGTTATTTGTCCAAGAAGTTTACCTGAAGCTTCAGGTATATCGCTGATCTAATATCGTTCAACAACCGTCACTAATAAAGGAAATACAAACGCTACCTGACGAGGAAAGGATCACTGAAAATAATGTTAACCATGCAAACCTGATTAAACGTCAGTTGAGTTAACTCCTGCCAAGCTTCTGGTTGTTTTTCCAACATAGGTCGTCATTATATTTTCATAATATGTATAAAAAACCCACGATTTACCAATATTTTCACGACCTATTTACATGTTAACTGCCATCTGACATAAACGAAGACTAAATTTAACATTGCCGTTGTCAACTTGATGTATTTACATTCTCTTACAATTTTCTCTTTTAAATCAATTGTTAAAAGATCGGTAGTATCTTAGTATATTCACATACGAAAACATAGTCGACAAAAGTAATACATTTAATGGGTCACTGGGCTTGGCTTCACAATCCTTACAATTTGTATTGACTTATATCAAATAACATTTTCTTGGTCTCCGTAATGGAGTTTTATGATGTATACCAATTAAGCAATAAATGATACCCTAATTACACAAAGACACTGTCTAAGTTTCACATGATATAAATTACAATGTCTATTCCTTGGCAGGAACAGGGCACAAGACCACAGAGCAAAGTCTCCCTTTAAGGCTAGATGTTTGTTTGCTTCAGCAATACTTCCAGATGCGTGGAATAAAGTTTGTGAGTGTTTACTGTCTGCAAAGAATGACTTTTGGTTTTCTTTCTATTTTTACAGGGAGCTGAGAATGCAGCAACTTAAGATTACGGCAGTGCTTACAATTGGCATGTGCCTTGTATACCTTCTTATTTACTCAACCGTGAGTTACACTACACTATTCAGAAGGCCAAGCATCCTGGCTGCACAGATTTCCAGGCATCATAACAAGACTCGTGGAGATATTATCGTATCTGTACAAAAGAACAAAGACAGTTCAGTGATACAGCCAGGTAGTAAACACTCCAGACAGGAAGCGAATATTATAAACAGAAACAAAACAACGCCTAACAAACGAAATACCGAACGAATTAAACAGATGCTTAAAAGGGTTCCTTACAATGCACCTGAAATACTCATCAAAAGTCAGGAAAGGCGTTTTGATGCTAGTGTAGGAGAAGATGCACTTGGAAGCACGTTTCCTCCCAGGAAGCCCTACAAAGGCGATTTTCAGCAGGTGGACGTTCGAATCTTCATATATTCTGCCATATACCAAATTGCCAACTCGTCAGTGCGGGCACTTATCCTCGTTCCAGAACCATTTAAGCCTGTCTCTTTCTTCTGCATACTGAAAAGGTCAACGTCACATCTGGGTCATAGGATTAAAGGTCAATTCCAGCACATTCCCCCATCTAGATGGGGCGTTTACAAGTGAGTATAAATCTGTATATAGTTTCAGATCTGTGAGTATGAACGATATTATTTGTTTCTCTGTTGTTTAACACCGCACTCATCAATATTCCAGCTATATGACGCCGGTCTGTAAAAAAAATCGAGTCTGGACCAGACAATCAAGTGATTGATATCATGAACGATATTAGTACATATTAGTACTCCTACATGTATGTAGTGTACGAACATACAAGCTGGTTACAAGAAATAGGTGATTGCAGGACATGGGATTGCAGAAAATTCGTAAAGAAACATTTCAAATAAAGAGATCGAGTCATAATGTCCAGTTAACTGGAATTTCTCTTTATCTGATTCCTCGTTATACCCAAACGAACCTCCTCTGAGTGGGACATCCATGTTAACCTATGGCATTGTATCTCAGTGGGCTAGCACCACAAAGCCGGAAAAGTCCGGACTAGTGAGTGAGTGAGTGAGTGAGTGAATGCTGCTTTAAGCCGCATCAGCAATATTTCAGCTCACATCTAGAAAACGAAATTAAGTTTCTTTCGAAAAAACAGAAGAAAATTGATGACAAAGATTACTACAACGCCAGTCCATTATCACAGTAAACAGTAAAAACTGACATTGATAATTTAAGATCAACATTTTATCATACAGTTGAGTTTCCTTCAAATATGCTAAAACTAAGTAGTTAGGAACGGTACTAAAACGTGCAAAATCAACACATTCCAACAAAAGGGGCGTGATAGTCTGAGGACTATGACAAGGAATAAATTGAGGGGGATCGGTAAAGGCATGATACCCAATCAAGGATAGTTTTGCAAGAAGCTTATTAAATACTTGGTTGTTCCACCTTTGGTGCCACATATTTCCAACATATTGGCAAATAGCAGGTTTTAGGTATGCATATGGAAAAGTACCGCTCGACACTTATTTCTCGAGAACAGCTTCATCCGCAGAATCTGCTTTAGAATGTCCTCTTAAGCCCATATGACTGGAAAGCCAACACAAGATGATGTCATTGTTAGTCACAGACAAATTCAATTTCAAAATTTCAACCAAATAGGAAATGGTCTGTTTTATGGTTATTGATTGCCAGCAAACAAGAAAAACTATGAGAAAAAAAATGATGAAACAACTGCTCTCCTTTAGAACGTTCAATAAGTTGCAAGGCTAATAGTATGGCCTTAAGCGTCTGCCGTAAAACGGAAGTTCCATCAGTTAATCGTAATGTTAGAGTATCATCATGTGTAACAGCTGCAACTGACACCTTGTCACCACTTTTGGAGCCATCGGTGTATATGCTTGTGTGCCCTGTATTGTATATTGATGTTTATTTTCTAGGAAGGCTTCTTGATATGATCAGGAGCTAGTATCTGCCTTTTTCAATTTAGCTAATTCCAAATGGACGTGAGGCTGTATTGACTGCCACTTCAGGCAGTTTGAAAGCGGCATTTGCCAAAATATGTAAACGTGCCTCTGTAATATTTTGTTGTGAACAGATACCAAGCGAAATTCAGTTAGGTTTCTTAGCATACAAAGTCTGATAGGACAGTGTTAAATTCTGGATTGGATGGATTGGAATAACATATATACATATAACAAACAACGTATATAACGAACTGATTTATCCGGTCCCTTGTAGTTCGTTATATCCATGTTCAACTGTATAGAGTTTAGTAACTTTTTGCAGTGCCAGTTTTATCCATATATCAAGACAAGGCTAATTAGCTTCAACATATAAACTTTCAACAGGACAAGTCTAAATGCACCCAGACAACAATCTAAGACCATGAAGGTGTTAAGCGAATCACTGTTCTGTAGAGATGGATGTTTGTTGGTCTCCACCCATTTATTATTTGAAACTATCTCAAGTGTATCAAGAGCTTTTAAGCATTTATCTTAAACATGTTTACTTTGAGTAATTACACTTTACAATGGGCCATGACGTATTTGTTTTTAGTGCAAAAATTAACACAACGTGTTTTGTCTTTAAAAATCTTTTTCCAGTGACCACTTGTGAATCTTGTTGCGGCAAAGTTGTAATTGTCTTTCAATAGTGTTCATCTTTGTACCATGGCATGAAATATTATAGGCGTCAACATACAATGATCCATCAATATTTTCAGTCAAAACCTTTGCAAGGCTATTTATTTTCACACTTAAAAGAATTACTGATAAAATGCTTCCTCGAAGGATTCGAACATTTCTTGATCGAATACGTCAGACAATGTGGCCCCCACTGTGACTTTAAATGTCCTGTCTTCTAAAACTCGTGCATGGAAATAAGGCCTGCAGCCATGAAGACCCATACGTTGCAGAGCTTTCCAAAATCCTCCTTCCATGTTGTATCATAGGCTTTCTCCAAGTCAAATACTTGCGGACAAATGATTCCCATCTCACGAGATGATCAATAGTGGTCCTCTGATGCCTAAAACTAGATTGAATATCCGTTTTCAGATTATTTGGTTCCAGATACCAGATCATTCTTTCGATAGTTTTGCAGTCACAGCTTGTTGATGCTATTGGGCGATAAATAGAAGGGTTTGTATGATCCCTACCTGGTTTGGGGACAGGAATGATAGTAGCTCCGTGTCAGGAAGTAGGAAAATTACCCGTTTCCCAAATATTGTTAAATATATAAAACAAGGCTATCAGAGAGGATCCCGGTAGATGCTTTCATTACTGATAATGGATATCATCTGGCCCAGATGCTGTTTCACGAGCCTTGATCAAAGGCTCACGTAATAATTCGTTCAAGGAAAATGGTTTATTAAATTGGGGTGTGTGTGTGCTAAGGTGTGTGAACTGGTGACCAGGTTGAACTTGCGTGAGAGTATGTGTCTGTGGAGTGGGGCTGAGGGGGTGGGTGGGGTGCTGTATACATATGAAGATAATATTAGTTATAATGATTATTTATGTATTTTATTGATTGTATAATTTTAGGTGTCTTTTAGGCCAGTAATGGTCAGGTGTATTATGTACACATGACACATTAATAAACTATATTATTATTATTTTTATTTTTATTTTTATTATTATAAACTTCGTATTGTCAGAGTGACAATTTAGAGTTTTCTTTTCCTGCAAATTTTGAAACTTCTGGAATTTAGGATCACAGTTAGCAGATGATGAATTTTTGCTTTTCGTTTCTATTATCAATGTCTTTTTTTTAGATGTGTTATTATTAGATTTGAGATTTTGAATACTGTTTGTGAATCCTTTACCTTTTATTCTTCTGATCATATTCCATACTTTATTAAGGAGAGTACGAGTATATATTTTGGAAACAAACCTTCTCCAAAATCTTCGTATAGTGTCCTTGATAGTTCTACGGGCCAAATTGGTCATCTCGTACGACCAGCATGGGGTGCTGGGGACACATTCTACATCGGGTCCCGGACTAGTACAAGCAGAAACACACACAAACGCACGCACACACACATTCTTATTTTTATCTTTATTGTCTATCTCACGTTTTGTTTTAAGTGTGAAATGTTACAGGGTTGTTAAAAATGTAACACACTGCTTGGAGTTCCAGTGAAGCAAAAGCAATGACTTATTTATCGTGGCTACACCTCAAGCTTTGAGCGTACCTTTACTTTATGGATCACTGAGCATGTATCACATGTCTGTCCGACAGGAACATATTTTGTAAATTGCCATTAGAGTTCACAATAAAAGTTCCGAACTTGAATTTAACTTTCTCCATATTCTTAGTTAATAGTAAGCCGAGGAATACAACTACAAACGCCGAAACAAAACATACCTGCTACATGTGCTTTTTGAAGCTAAGGTCATCAATGGTTTCTAGTTTTTTTTTGTGAAATGTGTGTGACACACTCCTGTTATTCATCGTGGCTACACCTCAAGCTTTGAGCCAACCTTTACGGGACACTGAGCATGTCTGTCAGACGCGAACATATTTTGCAATTAGTGATTATCAGGTTCAGTTATAAACTAGAATTTGATTTTCCCCACATTCGTGTTCAATAGGATCTGTAAACCGAGAAATACAAATATAAACGTAAAAAAAACCCGTAAAAAATGTGCCTTCTTCATACTAAGGTCATCTTTGGTTTCTCGTTTCAGAAATCGATGTGGATTCGTTCACTGCCCAGTACCTCCCAACAGTTACCCAGAGTTCATTTCTGTCCTCACTGCCCGGATGTCCTCCCCCCTCAACGTCCTCGCTGTCAATTATCCTGGACCCCCCTATAACCGACTGACGCGCTGTTACCCTGCAGTGCATGGGAACTTCACTGACGTCAACACACTTGTCACAGCCCTGGAGACCAGCAGATACTTCGGGACAGACAAGTTCCTCTTCTACAACTACAGCATACCAGAAGATATCAACAAAGTCCTGCTGCACTATGAGAGAGAAGGCATTGTGGAGATGAGGAACTGGAAGCTTCCCTTTCCCCCAGACCAGATCCACTACTGGGGTCAGATGGCGAGTATCCATGACTGTGTCTTCTCTCAGCTTGGGGTGGCCAAATACGTTCTTCTTGCAGACATTGATGAAATTATTGTTCCTAAGAAAAACGTTTCAATAGCAGATCTGGCTGACAGACTACTGAATACAAGAAAACCCACTTCTCAACAAAACGTATACGGAGCTCTTATGTTCCAAAATGCATTTTTTATATTGTATGAAAATGAGACAAAATACATGTTCTCTGAAAAGAAGGATGCAAAGAAATTCAAAATGAATGCATTCCTGCATACCAATAGGTCTCGCCTAAATCCTCCAAACTACAGATCAAAACTTCTTGTGAAACCCGAGGCTGTGAATCTGATTCATGTTCACTTAATGGAGGAGTTCCTTCCTGGCTGGGAAATGTATGTAGTCAGCCCAGAAGTCGCTCTCATGCATCATTACCGGGAGGGAAAGGACAATCAGAGCCTGAATCCTTGGAGTCAGGATTTCACCTTTATTAAATACAGCAGTAGTCTAATACCAAAGATAAAGGATCGACTAATAAGTCTGCAAAGTGAACTGGGAATACAGATTTGATCTGGGTTGATGTTTATTTTGAAAATTCACTTGACTCTGCTGTCAAGAGGTACCAGAAGATGTAACCCTGTTTGTCCCCCGGCATATAATGCAGGAGGTATTGTCATCATCTGGTCAGTCTGTCCACCCGTATTTTGTTTCCAGAGCATGACATGAAAAACGTGAACGATTTTCATCCAAACTTGGTGCATGTATTACCACGAGCTGAAGTGGCGCCTTTTGCTATATTGGGGATCAGGGGCATTTGTCATCTTCTGATGAATATTGTTTTGGAATTTGAAAGAAAGGCAATTTACTTTACTTGTAACTTTTCAGAATTAATAATACTTTAGGGGGATACACAATCACAAATCACAATTGGTTGACCAAAATTAAATTTTGAAATGGGAAATGCCGTAAAACGGACGGTGAAAAACGACAGGCAAGATCGTCCCCAAACGAAACGGGTTACCGGAGTTTGACGCGCTGTGCGCGCCCAGCCTGCTTAGTGATTTATTAGGGATCTTCCTACTTGTTATGGGTACAAATTCACCCGAGCGTGGTGATGGGTAAGACAATAGGGGATTGTGGGTAAGTAATTGGTGAATATCTCGACACAACTAATTGGTGAACTCAATTCACATACACTGTACTGGGTGAAAACTTATAAAACGTATATCAATGAGTGAGTGAGTGAGTGAGTGAGTGAATGAACACATTAATCATTAAGTACGATTTGGGCTATAAAAGGAATTACAGAATAGAAACAGTGTGACAAATGCGGAGGTTGATTTACAGTTTATTCCCAATTCTAAGAGGGATAAGCACTTGGTGTTTTTGCGAGGTATAAGTTCGCGATTAAGACCAGACGTCACACTTTAATCCATTGGAAATGTTCCCAAAACGGATGCCCAACCATCATCAACACCAAGGATGACTTTGTCACAAAGCATAATCACATCTCTCTGAGCAGTGGGTCGACGCCACAAATCATCTCGAGGGGTGGCATACAAATTCTCACAAATTCATTGAGATACTGCAGGTTCACCAGGATAATACTGCGATCACAATCCACGTTGGTTCATGTCACCCAAGAAGAAGAAGTATCGAAACCTAGACTATGCGAGAAGGGAGGGAGAAGAGACAACTTCTTGCGAATCAGAAACCGGGACTGTTACACGGGACATTGGACAAATATTGTATACAGTGCTCATTCTTTTCATCAATTGTTTACTTTATATTTTAAAGTAAACGAACGCGGGATGTTCAAACAAACACTCTGGGCATCCCTTGGCAAGTTGCAGGACAGGAATTCATCGTACCCAAACAGGATTTAAGTCGCAAAACGCTCGTTACAGATATTAATTGTTATTTTTTATATATTTACAATGTCAATTTCAAAGGTCGTTTCACACACTCAGCAATGTATGCAATGTTTTTATTGTATAGAATTAACAGAAATAGGAACACGTCTAGATTGACTTCTGTTACGAATCCGTATAGCTGCCAAGCATCATAATAATAAATAAAAGCGACAAAACCCTTTCCATATTCAATAACAATTGCTATCACTATCAAATAATTATGATACCAGGTTTTCGCTAAAAGGTGAGCGTATCCCGCCCCACCGGTGGAACCCGTCACAAAGACATGCAAAGGCAAGGCAATTGTTCACGTAAAAAAATACGGGAACATTTGGGAAATAGGGAATTTCATTGGACATCATTTTTGTCACTGATACGTCAAAATTGGAATGTCCTCCATATGTCTACCATAAAACATTTTGAAAGCTTTACTGAGGCTTTGAATGATGTAACCTTGATCAAACAACTTCTGAGCAAGAGTCGTATGACGCTCTTTGAAATCCTGGAAGAAAGAGCGTGCTCGATTGTTTCTTAAAAGTTGTGAAATGTAAACATCAAAGGCTGGAGCTTCTGGAGTATTGCTTGACATGAAGGGAAAGTTGACTATTGGAAAATTGAAGTCATCCCTCTTGTCATACAGTCTCTTGGATAGTGTTTCGTCACTCTGAATCTTTATGCATAGATCTAAATATGAAACAGATGAAGCGGTCACACGGGTCTCCTTTTTCTCTAGTTCAGTCGGGTAAATCAGTGGAAGGGAATTGGCTATGTGATGGTTATTGAACGATATCAGATCATCGACACATCTGAAGCTTAATTTTAACTTCTTGGCCAAATTACCTTGTTTTGACTTTGCCAATCCGAGCAGAAATTCCAATTCATATGTATAAAGAAACAGATCCGCAAGAAGGGGAGCACAATTGGTGCCCACGGGGATGCCAACTTCTTGCCTGAATGTCTTACCTCCAAATATTACATAGATGTTATCAATGAGGAAGTCCAGCATTTCACATATTGTTTTCTCAGTAAAGTTCAGATGGCATTTGCTTTCATTCTTCACAAATTGTCCTAAACCTCTGAATATAGATACGTAACTGTATCTGTGTTCACCACGTCTTGTAACAAAAGTCCCATGGATAAAAAAAAATTCCCCTTAAGTTGGTCATGAGGAATAGTGGTGTACAAAGTGTGCATACCTTTCATGTAGGGTAGCCAGACTTTGGATGACAGCTGGCCGGGACAGAATGGGTTTATTCCCTTGTTTGTAAATTTCAAATTCAAGAACATGCGGTCTTTGATTTAGTGGAGTCTGTTTCTGGTTTGGCCAACCGTTTCAAAGCGATATCAAGAACTATACCCTCAGACGATACTGCGGACTCTTACTGTAGACCCACCCATCAGCCAAAGTTGCTGGAGTCATTTAATGTCTTTTAATGACACAGACTATAGTCTTGTTCTTAGTTGTTCAGTCCCGATGGCTAGACTTTTCTTGTGACCATGGCTGCGTCGACGTCTATGGGATGCTGGAAACAGACTCAATACATTGACGTTAGCAGTTCGTTGGTTAGAAAGACTTCCAACGTCTTTTAGTTTGTCATTGCATCCATAAGTCATTGATGTACGCAGCATTCGAATCCACTGATTTCTCTGTACATTCAAAAAAGTCGACTGCATATAAGGCTATGGTATAATTTCTTTAATATCCCAACTTTCATGCAAAGGGCGGATCCGGAGTTATTTTCAGAATTGAAATGTTGGTAGACACAATTGGAAACATTTCGGTTAATGCCCGACCTATGCTCTTGTGTCTCTCCAACATAAATCAATCCACAAAGACTGGAATATTGCTGAGTGTGGCGTTAAAAAACAAACAAACAAACAATCCACAAAGGGTACATTCAATGACATATATGGCGTTTTTGGTTTGACATGAATGTCTTGTTTAGGTCTGCAAAATCTTTCGTGCAGTATGTCAGTATGTCAGCCATCATGTCATCCAATGAAAATATTTATCACGCATCGCTGCACCGTCGCACCTGTATCTTTGAGCCCATACACCCCAAATGGTTTTGTTTTGTAATCCGATTACGGAGCATGTGATTTCAGCACTTTCATTTGGACATTTTAACACTTTCTACGAATATTATAATTATGCTTTCCTCTCTGGGACAATTGAGAGGTGCAAAATATGAAAAACAACAACATTTTTTTATACTTTACTTGCCCTTTAAAACTTCATGGTGATGTGCAATCTCATTAAAATCAGATCTAAGTTCACGCTTCCGCAAAACAAAGATCCTTTGTTTAGCGGTAGCTGAGTTCTGATTTTAATAAGATTGTATGATATGAAGACTACAAGAACTGGTGATGATTGAGGTTACCGCAGTCGGTTACCGCAGACTCGATTATATACAGACCGCCGTCATATAGCTGGAATATTGCTGAGTGCGGCGTTAAACAACAAACCAACCAACCGACCAATCGTAAGAGGCGACAAACGGGATCGGGTGGTAAGGCTCGCTGACTTGGTTGATCCATGTCATCGTATCCGCAATGCATAGATCCATGGTCATGATATCAATCACTGGATTGTCTGGTCCAGACTCAATTATTTACAGACCGCCGTCATATAGCTGTACTATTGCTGAGTGCGGCGTTAAACAACAAACCAAACAAAATCAAGTGTTGATAAGAACAATATTCATCTTCTACTTAAATATTCATCGCTCCCTGTGTAGTTATCTAACTTTAGTTGTTGTTATAGTGGGTCGGTTAAGGCTAAAATTGTGCACCAAACTTGGCACACTTATACATTGAACCATTCCAAACATTTTTGGATATGGAGCAGAGCCCCCTGGTGGTAGAAAAAACAGGATGGCCGCCAACATGGCTGCAATATCTAATGATATCAATATATACTCAATATATCGTACTTATCTGATCCTTTTATACATATATCCATAGTAACGCATGCGGTATGAATTGCAGCAGAGCTAAATATAATTCAAATATTGTTTGCAGCGCCCCCTGGTGGTAGAAAATCCAAGATGGCCGCCAGCATGGCTGAAATCTCTAATGACTTTAATCTATACTCATTATATCATAATTATCTTGTCAATTCATACAATTTATCACAGTATCGTTTTCAGGATCAATTCCAACATGTCTTTATATAATTCAAATCTGGTATGCAGCGCCCCCTGGCGATGACTAAAATCCAAGATGGCCTCCAATATGTTTTAGTTTTCAGAAATTGTATATTTCTACAGCAGATATAGATATCATTTGATATCTTTGGGCTAAGGACAAGGTGATAAGATTTTGATATGATGAAACATTTTTAAACGACATTGTATCAATTAATATGTATTGTGTATGATCTATTCTATATATATTTTATAAATAGTCTACTGAGAAATGTTCTACCTAGTTTATATTAGATCACCACAAAACCACTCATCGGGTAATGGAATGTATGTGTAAGTATACTCAACAACAAAGGTTCCCGTGACACCAATATTTTAGTGTATTTTTCAAACAAGTAAAGTTTGGTTTTCAATAGTGTAGTACATGTATGGAATCAAGTCACAAAAACGTAACTGCTACAGAAAAGCATGCATTCGATGCAAAAGTTACTACCAAAGAATGGGTATAAAAACATGTGCATTTAACGGAATTCCATATGCATTGTTTAGCGTCGTGCTGACAACAACCACTCAGAAAAACAACAAAATTAGGCAATTATTCAACATTACGAAATGCCACGCCTGTCCGAAAATGAGCGTCTGCGAGCCATTGGTATGCTTGAAGCAGGATCGAGTCAACGTGATGCTGCAAGACAATTTAACATCCACAAAAACACAATTTGGTATTTATAGCAACGTTGGCCACAGACGAATGCAGTCAGAGACCATCCTCGGCGTGGCAGGCCA